TCCTAGTGGGGACCTGTGATGTCACTTTTGATATGCAGATTTCTTACGTCACTGTGTGAGTGCAGAAGGGTAACAGTGGGGACCACACTTCCGGATGCTTATAACAACTGTATTCTTTAATGAAAATGAAACATTTATTACTGTAAACAAATTCCCCTTTTGAAACAAAGGTCAAATATCACTGAAAATAATAACAAAGAATTCCCCTTTTGTCACATTTGGGAGGTTGACTATCAGTATAAACATAAAAAAGCATTTAACACCCACCCTAAAAAGCAAAAAAACAACAACAAAAAAATCCCCACTTGTGACATTTGGAATGACAATTAACACTGTAAATAGTAAATAGAACCTGCATTTTTCAAGCTTGTATTACAGTAAATAGTAAAAAAAAAAAAAAACTGGACTGACAATTATCTTTGTTAATAAAACAACCTTTAACACTGTTAATAGTAAAAAAAAAAATCTCCCCTTTTGTAATATTTATCTAAATGGAGAAAAAAAAATCCTGGGAGGTCAAATATTATTGTAAATATATATAAAAAGCTAGTAAAAAAAAAAAAAACCTCCCCTTTAGATACCTTTGGAAGGACAAAAAAAACAGGGAGATAATTATCACTGTAAATATTTAAAAAAAAAAAGAGAAATTCAGTCCTCAAATCTACACTACATCTTTTCATCTTTTCTTACTCTCCCGTTGAAGCGCCACAATCCGGTTCTTGACATAAAATTTAATGGCTTCCCAGGTTCTATCTCGGAGAGCTTCCGGAGCTGACCTAATACATTCTTCACACTGTCTTTTACCTGGGACCCTTCCAGATGTAATGTAGTCCATCAACTTATCTTCCACTGCTTTAACCTCATCTTGTGTCCATTTCTTTCTTTTTGTGTTTGTGTGACCTAAATAAAGTCATACACAATTTTTACTTTGTCAGAACATGTATGCAAATATACCAGTTGAATTGTCAGCAGTCATGAAAGACTAACAGTAATCAGTCGAACAGCACAGTAATATATAAAACACAAAATTAACACTATTGCAACCTATGGTAACTTACAGTATAGTACAGAGCAAAAGAGTCTGCCTTTAAAGATAAATTATTAACTAATCTTATATTGTGTGAGCGTAAGAAATGAGCCTGGCTACTGAGTCATGCACAAAGGAAGGATGTTTTACAGACCTGATATTGGCTGTTGTGTAGAGCTTTCTGCTTCACTGATTTGGCTTCTATTTTCAGAGCCATTATTCCCCAAACTTACAGGTTTAGACACTGGCAATATTAGATATAAGACATATGTATATATTAAGATATATAAGGCCAAAATCTTATCACAACATTTAAGAGATTCTCACAATATCAATATTTATCACTATATTATAAAATAATCTTATTGAAAACAGGAAAACATGACATGTTCCTTCCAGCCTTCCTTGGCATTTGGAATGTATTCAGTTATTCACTTTCCCAAATCTTATGTTATTATAATGTGTCATTTCAGTTTTGTATTTTGAATTTGCAAAAATGTAAATACCTGTTTATATTATTATTATGGATTGCTGTGTAGATTGTGAAGGGAAAGAATTATTTTATTGTAATTCTGTAAGATAAAACATGGGGTAACCAAAGTTCTGAAATCTTTCTGAATTGACTTTGGTTGTGAGACGACATACAAAGTGGTCAGTGGTTAGTAAAATGGAATCAAACTACCTCTGCAAGTTGAAGTGTCCCTTTGTTGTTTTGAATTCCTGTCCTCAGAGTGATTCTCTGGAACCTCCTCAGGAAGACCTGGGGAGGAAGAAAACAGAAAACACACTCATGCATCATACAAAGCACTGGTCACATGATGCAGTACACTAGGCAGTATGCAAGGATGGGGTTAAGGTGTATTAATCATAAACACAGAAGATATCAGGGTTAGTGAAATAGGGGTTACAAAATCTAGAAGGTGCAGGAATGTTATGAAATATATGGCGAGTACTAAATGGATTTTAATAATACGGACCCATGGACATGGATGGTGGCTGATATAGTTCCTTTTGTAGTTGTGCTGTCTCATCTTCCTCCTCGCTCTCAGATACCTCACTGGCCACATATACTTGCTCTGAAAAATACACACAAAAAGACACAAAATATTTAGATTGGCATAGTACAACAGAGCAAAAAAAAAAAACAACACAAGACATTTTCGTTCATACCATCTGGGTCAATATGTATCTCCTCTAGGTTTTTGCCCTTGAATTCTGACATTCTGCCCTGCTCAAGTGCCATCAGCACCTTGCTAATCTTGGCCAACTGTAAGGTACCTTCTGGTAGCCTGTAAAATTTTCTGTGCACCCTTATGTCATGTCCAAGGAAATCTGCCAATTGATCCATTTCGGTATCTTTGAGATTGAGTACTTTGGATAAGGTGGACACATGCTTTCTAAGTTTTGTTGATGACAAGGTCTTGGGGTGTTTTGCTCCGCATTCACTGGCAAATGTTCGAATGACATCTGACCCTCTGAAGTGAGTGTCTGCTCCAGGCCTTGCAAACATGAACTGGTTTTCATCAGGTACTCCACATGTTCTGCGGTGTTTCACCAGCAGCTCCATGGATGCAAGCATATCTGGGGTGAGAAGAATTGGTACCTTCCTATCACGCTTTCCTCTGATTTCTATGCGCTGGAAATGCCGACATAATTTCTGCTCCACCTCAGATAAGGCATCTGCAATGTCAGAATGCAAAACTGATGTGTCTCTTAGAATGTAGGAACTTAGTCTCATTTTGGACACTTCCCCCGATCTCCGACGATTAAAAAGTATTACCTCACATAGAGTAACTCGAGCAAGATTTGACCAGTGCTTTGAGTTTTTCTCCATGTTGAGTGTGCTTTGGTACTCTTTTCGTCTTGATTCAAGGTGTAAATGCATTTTCTTCACATCTTCAGTAAATGGAAGAAGTTGTGGATTGTTCCATTTTGATTCATGAAGAGTCTTCAAAGCACTAGCTGACACACACTCATTCCATTTTGTTGCATAAAGGTGCTTAAACCTTTTTGCATTCTGTACAACTTCATCTTGACCTGCAATCATTGCTTCACATTCCACAATGTCAGCTATTTTTTTAAGGTTGTGGCCCAACTTTAGGGCTAAAGAAGGAACTCTGAAACAATAATTATCATCTTTGAATCCACAGGTATTTTTCACAGCCTCAATTGCATGATTGAAGTTTGCAGGAATGAAACAATCTTCCATCTTTTGGAGCTTGCCTAATTTTCTAGCGTGAAACAGCAGCCTTCCAGCCTCACGCATTTTTTGTCTGATGTATTCATGTTTTGTCTTTTACTTCCCATTTTGTTACACAGATGTTCTCCAAACTTAACAATGCAAGTGTCACTTTGAACGGTCTGTGTTACTTCGTCTTGTTTCATGTCACTCATCATTCGCCATAAGATCTGACTTACACCTTCAGGAACTGGCTGTGCATAAGCACAGAGAGCTTGGATTCTTGATTTACCTGGTTTTGTAACTTCACAGTTCTTGGCAAGGTTACACCTTGACATGTGCCTCCACAATGCATACCGTCTGAAAAGGCCTTGACAATTAATACAGTGCATGTAGTCCTTCACATCTGCTTTTCTGGAAGTTGTTTGTTGACGTGGTACCAGTACACCTTTTCCAGCTTTTAGAACATCATTGTTGTGTGCACGATTCCCCTTATTTCTTATAAGGTCCAAATGAATCTTTCTTTCTTTTGACCCCTTGGTAAAACTGAAAGCTTTTGCCACATCCATTTCATTTTTGTGAATTCTTTCTAGGTGCCTTGCAATTTTACTGAAAGGTTTTGAACAATATAAGCAATACTGCTTTTTACTGTACAACCTACCCCCATGTGTGCTCTTCCGGAGCTTCATGACAGACACCCCACTGCTACTGTCATAATTTGATTCATCTTTGGCTTCACCCTCAGTTGGTGATGTGGTTGTGCAGGGCTTGATTCCATCCATGCTGTTAGTGTCTGACACATGTTCAGATGGCAGAGTACTGGAGTGGGCAGCAATTTTCCTTTTTTTGGATGGAATGATCTCGTCATTCTCCTCTGAACTCTCAGATGATTCAGGTACATATTCATCTCCGCTGTTTTCTACACTGCTAATCAAGTCATCTGAGGTGTAGCCTAGTGATTTTTTGGTCAGCTAGAAGGGGAGACACATTTGTGTCAGCATTAGTTTACAACTGACATATAAAAGAGCATCCAACTAGGTTGCAATTACATCTAGATGGTGATGCCATGACAATAGTTTCATTAGGAGAATTTGCTAATCTCCTGCTCATGAACATCAGAATTTAGTGAATTAAAATGACAAAATTTGTATGTAACAGTCATATGTAGAGACTTACAAATATGCTCTCAGTTCTCTTAAGCTCTGGAACAGAGTGACCAGAAGTTGTGTGAGAGTCCAAGATAAGTACATCAGGATCACTCTCAGGACACTCTGCATCCTGGTAAATTAAAGTACCAGATGAATAGTTCAGTGATTTAATAGAATATTATACAGAGCACTACAGCTTTTAGACATTATACTTCAGGTAAGGGTATGCAGAGATCTAGCACCTCCTAGTATCTGATTGTCAGTGCAGTTCCTAATTTATTTCAGTGTTTCCCATCTCTGGTCCTGAAGAAAACTCTGACAGGATGTTTTCAATACGACCCATATTACTTTCAGCCTGGCACATTCATTGTTAGTCAATTAATGATCAGCTGTGTCTCACTAACATTCTGCTAGCATGGCAGGGAATTAGGCTGAAGGATGGTTTATTTGGGTGTTTTGATTCCCTTTGTGCTTTAACATGTGAAAGTTGTAAAAATAATAGTTTTCTAATTTTTCATATCTTTCATGCATTTCTTCAATGCATTATTGTTTACCTATACCTGAGTATGTGCATAAAAATGTTTATCAGGAGAGGACTCTCTACACAAGATTTCTTGTTATATAGTAGTTATTGTACATGTTTCAGAGTGACATATTTGATTTTTAAAAGACATACAAAGCTCCTAGACAGACCACTTTATTTTAAATTTTCTTAAGTTTATGTATAAGAATTAGGTGATCAGTGTTAACACACAGTGCGCAACAACAAAATGTGTCCTCTGCATTTAACCCATATGTGACATTGTGACATAGCAGGGGGCAGCTAATTCAGCTCCCGGGGAGCAGTGTGGGGGGGTGGTACCTTGCTCAGGGTACCTCAGTGGTACCTTGCTGGTCGGGGATTTGAAGCGGCAATTTTTCGATTGCAAGTGCGCTTCCCTAACCATTAAGCCACCACTGCCCTTGAAAATACTTGAAATAGTTTGTTTCATCCCTTAAACATCATTCATAACCCATTCTGTCAACCCAGAGAGATACTAATGTGGTAATGTGAGCTACTAATATCATAATGTGAATACTTGCCTTAGATTGTCTGGTAGACACAGAGTGAGCTGGGTGAGAATGGCTGGTTTCATCCACATTCAGGTCTGTATTTGCAATACAGGTGGCATCATCAGAGCTCTCCAACTAAGGAAAGGAAATAAGTCACTTTGATTAGGCTGAGCTACTTGCCTTTTTCATTTTGGCTGCACTAGTCAAATGTCCATGACTAGTGCTAGGAATTGGCAGCTCCTTAACAATACTTTATGTACCACAATACATACAACAACAGAGGTTATCAGTACAAAATTCATTTATTTTTAAATCAATTATATTTAGGAAACAGTGGAAAATGAACAACAAATTGTAGAATAAAATCTTCATAACATTCATAACATGTTCATAACATTATAACAAAAAAAACATAAAGTCTTTCTGATTTTTAGCCTCAGAATGTTAATATCTGCGGTGTGTTGCCATCTGCCCAGAGTTGGTTCCTGCCTACGCCCATTGTTCCCGGGATAGGCTCTGGTCCCCCCCGCAACCCCAGTTGGGATTAAGCGGTTACGGTGATGGATGGATGGATGGATGTTAATGGTAAATAAAGCAAATAGTATCCTTAGAGTATTGTAGCAAAATTGCTACAGTTGAGTACAGCCTTATCCATGACAATTATATATTTTATTATAGGCAACACTGCTCACACTATATGCATGACAATAACTTCAGTATTATAAAACTTAGTAAACACAAACACTTACCAATAATCGTTTTGTACACATACGCTGTAAACTTTGAATGTCTTCACTGAGCGGCGAAGATTCTTCTTTATCATTTTCAAAATTTTTCATGTTCTTTACAGTTTTCATTTTCTGGAAAAGACAGTTAATCAGAATCCTTGGAATGCATTACCTTCTTTCATTCTAAGTTCAGCTAACAATATATGCAAATCTCAAAACACATGTAAGACCACTAACTCATGATTAGTGCATTAAATGGTTACTTTTGGACAATAAAGCCAGAGTTACATATATTTCTCTAAAGTTTAAAAACAGAATTTAATATGCAAATCAACCTAATACTTATTTAATATTATATGCACGTTGATTAACTGTGATAATTAACATGCATGTTACTTTATGAAAACCCATTTACNCAACATTTCTAAAGAATGCTTTCAGCACCTTGTTGAATCAATGCCACGTAGAATTAAGGCAGTTCTGAAGGCGAAAGGGGGTCAAACACCATATTAGTATGGTGTTCCTAATAATCCTTTAGGTGAGTGTATAATGAGATGTAAAATGGTTTCAAAATGTATTTCAAAACCAAAATTCTATTATTATATTAATACAATAACAATTTTAACGGTAGTATCACTGATATTCATGTCTTCATGGTAAACAAATGAACAACAATACAGCATAATGACAAAATGGGTATAGCCTTCTCGGAGTACATCGGGGCTGGGATTCACATCTCTGTGTGTGGAGTTTGCATGTTCACCCAGGACTCCACGAGATCCTCTCTGTACTCCGGGTTCCTCTTACAGTCCAACGACACGTTGTTGTGGGGGGGTAGGTAACTTTTGCAGCATCATTAAGAGGTGATGTTCAATCACAGAAAAAATACCTAAAACAATGCCCGAAATATATATGTATTTTTTAAACAATGCGAGCACGCGATATTGAATTTAGATCGATGCGTTTTAGAATTGAAAGGTATTGTAATTGTGCTTCCAACACAACATGCTAAATAAGAATATTATTTACACTGACAGACTTAACACGGTTTGCGAAAAGCTCCACCTCCCGTAAAGGACCAAATTAGGTTTCGTTTTCAATTTCATCTGAAAAAAATGGAATAACGTGCGTTGAAAATGGTTAAGCTGTAATTAAATATCAGTGATAAAGGTATTTTTGTTTTAAACTGTCCAACGGTTGCTTACACTTTCAATACTGCAGCGTCTTTCAATAACGAAAGCCTTTTATTATCGAAATAATCGGGGCTTCTCCCAGAATCAAACTGCTCGCTGACGGCCGTGTGGAATTAGCCTGCCTCGGATTGGGGATTAAAATACGTTTTATCCTGAAGAGTAAATTAGCGTAGGTATTACTGGAAAAAACTAGTTGTAGTTAATATAAAAATAGTAATTACAAGGATATTGTATTTAAGATCGGCAAAACTAAATAATCGAAAAAATATGCTGGAGGAATCACCTGAGCCTTCCTGGCTTTCCGAGGAAGTCAAAACAGGGGTAAGTACAGTAGGCTACAGATTACATTAAATACAGTTTTAAAAAATATTAAAATTCTGAATGTCTTTATACCATGATGTCTAGAAAAAGAAGATAACGATGGTTCATGCGGTACTTATTTTTCAAAGAAAACTTTACTTATTGACATTATTTGCATATTTTTAATATGCATGAGATTTAACCAGGCCTGGTTTAGCAGCCTTTGAAGTATACTGTGTGAATATCTTAGTATCATCGCTCTAAATATCGCACCAGTCATGTTTCCCACGTTTTTTCCAGACCACTATTATAGCCATCGAGTTTGATGGTGGAGTTGTGCTGGGATCAGATTCTCGCGTTTCTGCCGGGTATGTCTCTCTCTCTCCATCTCTGCTTCTTTTTGTCTATCTCTGTCACTTTTACATAAGAACGTAAGCAATTTACAAACGAGAGGGGGCCATTCCCTCAGTGGTTCTTGATGCACCATCTGTATTTGCATTAGGGAGTCTGTGGTGAATCGGGTGATGAACAAACTCTCCCCCCTCCATGACAAAATCTACTGCGCTTTGTCTGGTTCTGCTGCCGATGCTCAGACCATCGCAGAGGTCGTCAACTACCAGCTGGATGTGCACAGGTACCTTAGCGTCCTTGTTTGTGGTGTGACCTGCTTGTTCAGTAGCCAGGTACCAATAAGATACCTTCTCTGTGTATTCCAGCATAGAAATAGGGGAGGACCCCCTGGTCCGCTCAGCAGCGACTCTGGTGAAGAACATCTCATACAAGTACAAGGAGGAACTGTCCGCTCATCTCATCGTGGCCGGCTGGGACAGGCGGGCTGGGGGGCAGGTCAGTGAGGGAAAAAGTGAAAATGTCATTAACTGCTATGGTAGTTTGATGAGATTTCATATTAAATGCTGTCCTTTACACAGACTTATGTCTCAGACAAAGTCACCTTTTTGTAGTTGTGCACATGAACAACAAAATGAGGTAGTAAGTGCTCCTAGTGCAAGAATCGCACCCAGTAATATTGATAAAATAAATAATAGAATAACTAACATAACATTTAAAATAGTGCAACAGTGCAGCTGCATAGTTTCCGGAGTAAAAGTTTCATCCAACAAGATACGAGTAACTTTTTGACAGAAATTCTTGTTAGTTTTTGTCACTATAAATTTACATATCTGTGATGGGTTGGCACCCCAAGCTGGGTTGTCCCCTGCCTTGGATTATAGCGTTTGGACCCCCCACGACCTTGAATAAGACAAGCGGTTACAGAAAATTGAAGGATGGATGGATGGATGAATTTATTGGCATATATTCTAATGTTTTTTTTCCTGAGCAAATTTACACTTTCTGTTGAGATAATCAACTTTAAACATTTTCTTTGCCTAATAGTTTTGCACAGTACTGTGTATACCCATACACATTGACATGGACATTGACATCCACATATAGTTTATCCCAGTAGTTTTTGCACTGCAGTACTTGCACTGACCACTGCCATGCAGCCAGTGGAGTACTGACAGTGGCGGCTCCTTCTCCCAGGTGTTCGTGACCCTGGACGGCCTCCTGTGCAGACAGCCCTTCGCAGTGGGCGGCTCCGGCAGCTCCTACATCTACGGCTTTGTGGACGCTGAGTACCGAGCAGNATCTCTTGTTGCAATTTTCATGATGTTGCTTCAAAGATTTTATTCGTTTATGAAATCTTTTAGTCTTCTCAGAATTTTTTACCTTTGCTTTATTTGGTCTGTTATAATTAAGGAAAACAAATTTATTACAGAAAATATCACTTCAGAGTATGTATGCATACATATCATCTCACACGTTCATTAGCAAAATGCAACTTCATTAACACTAAGTCGAGTTATTACATACTGTGCTGTTATTGCACAATGCGCTGTTACAGGGTATGGAGTTCACTTTTGTAAAGATAATTATCTTGCTCAAGATGATGTCTTGTGCGCACAATATAATTATCTTTTATGAACGAGATAATATCTTGTGCGCACAGTACAATTTTTCGGGATTTCGCAGGCTCCGTAATATTTAATCTTTCACAGAACAAAAAGATCTACTGTGCTAAATGTGCGCCGGCAAGCTGGGCAAATTTCACCAATTTTTCTAAATAAAAATAAAATACAGTGATTCCACCGCCTATCGCGGAAGTCCAGACCGATCCGCGATAAGTGAAAATCCGCGATATATAAGACCATATAAATAAATATTTTTTAAATAGCTTAAGCGTTAAAATATCCCTCCTTTTAAACACAAATGTATTGAAAATTTATTAAAACACACTTTGCACACTTTCTTTGCACGACTCAGTTTTCCTAATTGTGATGCACTATAACTTGAAATGCTATATTCCATTTTTTACTTTGACTTAAGTAGTATTTTACTGGATTACTTGTGAAACGGTGCAAAACATAGTTAAAACACTACATTTATCGAATCTAAATTAAAAATCAAGAATAAGAAATCAAATTATAGGTGTTCATACCTTAATTGATCCATTTTGTCCGTGTGCTGTCCCGGCGGGATCTCGTGGAGCTGTGAGGTTGCGCAGTAATTAATGAACTCGAGTTGGGGGATGGGTGGTAGTGGTGGGGACCGACAGGTGAACACACAGCTTCTAGAAAGTTCTATACTTTCTGCTATTGGGCAAGGGGTGGTAAAGTTGGGGACCGGGTAATTCCAGCAAAATATACATTCAGGGCAGGAATATAGGTTATGTAAAGGGGTATGATGAATGTCACTGTACCATTCAAAAAAATGTATCTCCCACCATCATCTTAGCTCAGACGGCATCAATGTTCACTTTAAGATTTAAAAAGGTTTTAAATGGAATAACAAATGTACACACTTTTGATAGAAACTGGTTTCTTGTATTGGATTCTAACAAGGTGATTTATTTGTTTACACTGTAAATATATTTTTTGATTTATGTTATTGCAATTAAATTGGTAATCAAAATGAAATCCCATCAAAATCAATTTGATACTGAGATTTTATGGCCACGCTATTGCTGTTACATATTAATTGTGCTGATAAATGTTTCTAGATGAAAAAAGAAACCACAGTGTTTTCTGTCTTCATAAGTTAGTCCAGTTTCAAACCTGGGGGAGGAAATTATCTGGTTTTCATGGTCCTACAGGATAGACAGACAGATAGAAAGATACTCAGGTCCAGATTTGTTGCGGAAATCATGCTGACAAACATATCCTTACTGAACTGTCATTTTTCGTAATCAGTTATCTACACCATTTAACTGGAAAACAACCTTTTCAAGTCAGTTTTGCATGGTAGTTAATGAACTTGAGTTGGGGGAGGGGTGGTAGTGGTGGGGACTGACTGGTGAACACACAGCTTCTAGAAAGTTCAGTGCTTACTACTTTTGGACGAGGGATGGTAATGATGGAGATCAGATAAGTCCAGTAAAATACACAGAGTAATTCTGGTTTCATTCAGGACAGGAATATGGGTCAGGTTAATGGGTATGATGAGTATGGCTATAAATTTATTAATTCATTAATTAATCCTTATATAAAAAATAGGGACCCTTGGTGCTTGAATCCCCAAGATGCTTCTTTGAACATAAGAAATTTACAAATGAGAGGAGGCCATTCGGCCCATCAAGCTCGTTTGGGGAGAACTTAACTAATAGCTCAGAGTTGATAAAATCTTATCTAGCTCTGATTTAAAGGAACCCAGGGTTTTGCCCTGCACTACACTAACAGGAAGAGTATTCCATACTCTAACTACACGCTGTGTAAAGAAGTGTTTTCTCAAATTCAGTTTAAAATGTTCTCCCGCTAATTTCCACATATGGACTCGAGTTCCAGACCTGTTAGAATCTTATATATCTGGATCATGTCCCTCCTTATTCTCCTTTGCTCAAAGCTAAACAGATTCAGCTCAGCTAACCTCTCCTCATAAGACATTCCTCTAAGACCAGGAATCATTCTAGTAGCCTTATGTTGCACCCTTTCCAAGGCAGCAATATCCTTTTTAAGGTAAAGTGACCAAATCTGCACACAATATTCTAGGTGGGGTCTTACCAAGGAATTCTATAATCGTAGCATCACCTCCATTAAACTCCACACACCTAGAGATGTAACCCAACATCCTATTGGCCTTTTTTATTGCTTCCCCACAAACAGAATGGGACAAGGAAGCATCAACATACACACCGAGGTCTTTCTCATAATCAGCTACCTTTATTTCAGTGGAACCCATAAAATATATTTATTTTATATTTCTGCTCCCTGCATGGATTACCTATCTTCGTTAAATTTCATCTGCGAGGTATCAGCCCAGTCGCTAATTAAATCAAGATCCAGTTGTAGCCTCTCTGCTGCTAGATCAGTATCTGCTACACCACCCACCTTGGTGTCATCTGCAAATTTAACCAGTTTACTGTGTGTAATGGTGTTGCATTTATAAAGAAAAGTTTCCCATAACAACCTACAATTCACAGATTCATAAAGACAATTGCTGTACATCCTCATTCCTACTCTGAGAAGTTTAGCCCAGTTTGACTAATTAGTCATTTACCTTACAACCAGACAGCCATCCAGTTGGGTGAACACAGTAATACTCTCACGGTGTAGGTTTTTGTGGTCATTTTGATGTATTGATGCCTTTTAGTATATAGTGCTGCGTGATTATTTTCTTTTTGAGTGTGCTAATTTGTTGCATTGTCATTTCAGTAAATATTTGTTTCTGATCAATTGACAGTCTTTACACATTGCAATGTGTAATCATTGAATTGAATTGAATCTGGTATCTGTGACATAAATAGTATTCAGTTTGCTAAAAGAACAATCAGTGTCAGTATGAAACTAGGAAACGACTTTAATTCAAAGTTTTGAAGATCCTCGTAGGTGGATACCTACAGTGCACACAGACATTCTCACAATATAACTAAACGCTAGGTTTAAATAACAATGACTACTTTTCATTGCGAAGGCATAACATTTTTATTGATGGAGTTATCTGCGTGCAGAAATGCTTTGCTTTGATAAAGTTGTCTAAGATGGTGTTTTGCAAAGTGTTGGGCAGTATCATATAAACTGCTTAGAGAAATTCACATATAATAGTAGGAAATTATCAAATATAAAGAAAGAATCAATTAGAAAAAACTAAATATGTCGCAACCAATAGTACAGGTCTTATGGTACATATTTTGCCCACCTTTTTAGAATATTTACGGTAAAGTTACACACAGTTGTTCCACTTTTGACCAGAGGGGGTGCACTTCCACACACACCACCTATACACACACACACTATTTCTCTGGTCAAACAACTCCATGGGGACATTTTGTCATTTTCAGAGAAACTTCACCAGGCATGTTAAATTTTTTTTTTTTATCGTTTGCAATGGTTGTGCCGGTGGGGACCAGGGAGCCGGTCCCCACGGCGCAAAAGGTCCCCACCGGTTTGGTGTGCAGTCAGGTTGTGGTCCCCACCAGGCTATAAAAACAAGTGCACACACACACACACACACACACACACACACACACACACACACACACACNACATTCAAGTGAAGCACGATCCTCCTCTTGTTTGGACTTTTTCTTTCTCTTGCTCCCGATTCGTATTGCCGTTTGGAGGCCATCTCTCTACCTGCATGGAACTGCCTGTTAGCGCATTTGACCGCTGATTGGCCAGATGCTGCGTGCTGTCAATCACTGCGGCAACGTGTGTCATGTCAGATTACTCGTCTTTTCTTTTCTATCCTGCCTTGGGCTGACTTGGTGGTCTACGCGCGCCTCACGGCAGCGATGCACATCCTTTGCGCATTTGCAGAGAATGGGTCCCCTTGTGGAAAATGGGGCCCCCCATGGATCGTGGGGCCCTACGCACAGCGCGTGTTCTGCGTGTAGGGAGGGGCGGCGCTGTGTGTGTGGGTGGGTTTACAGAGTAATAGTAAAAATTTTATTCTATACTGGTTGACCTGTACATTATCTTGATGTTTTTTTGTTTTTACAGTCACAAAAACATAGTATTATAATAATGTCCTGTTAGTTTCACAGTACAGTCGTTTTATCCATTTGTCTCCTGTCCCCAGCTCTGTCTTTAGCCATGAGCAGAGACGGCTCCAGTGGAGGTGTGGCCTACATCGTAACTATTGACAAGAGAGGAACAGAGGAGAAGTGCATTCTGGGAAATGAGCTGCCCACTTTTTTTGACAATTGAGATCAAAAACATACTGATTTCCCTATGGAGAATGAGTGTGGCTATATTACTCAACTATACAATAAGAGATGGACGAACACAGTGGTCAACAGTTTGCATGTGTACATATATGAACCAGCTTCAGAGAACTGCATAGACTGGTGGGCAGTTATATGCATTATTTCATGATGTGATATACAAAAAAAAACCCAGCTGATTTTAAATAATAAATGTTCTTGTACATCAAAATTGTTTTAATTCTTTATTTTAGATTTGTATCAAATTGAAACTGCAATAAACATAATTTGGTCATGGAATGTTTATGGATTTAACATCTACTTTGACATACCAGGTATATTTCTAAGAGGGATAGAACAAAGTAGAAATCATCACCCAGCTTTCCACCACTTATCCAGTACAGGGTGACACTGACCCAGTAGCCTATCCCAGGAAACAAAGGGCACGAGGCAGTAGGCGCTCTGGGTTGGATGCCAGTCCATCAGAGCCCCCCCCCCCCCCCCCCCCCCCCCC